TGTCACCTGTGTCACCCCCAGGGTCATTGGTGTCACCTGGGCCACCCCCAGGGTCACCTGTTCTCCCGCACCGCCAGCATCCCGCCCTGGGGGGCAGGAGGGTCACCTGGGTCACCTGTGGGGTCACCTGTGTCACCTGTGTCACCTCAGGGTCACCTGTGTCACCCCCAGGGTCACCTGTTCTCCCGCACCGCCAGCATCCCGCCCTGGGGGGGACACCTGGGTCACCTGGGTCACCCTCAGGGTCACCTGGGTCACCCCTGGGGTCATTGGTGTCACTTCAGGGTCACTTGGGTCACCTGGGACACTCCCAAGGTCACCTGTTCTCCCGCACCGCCAGCATCCCGCCCTGGGGGACAGGAGGGTCACCTGGGTCACCTCCAGGGTCACCTGGGCCACCTGTGCCACCCCCAGGGTCATTGGTGTCACCTCAGGGTCACCTGTGTCACCCCCAGGGTCACCTGTTCTCCCTCACCGCCAGCATCCCGCCCTGGGGGGGACACCTGGGTCACCTGGGTCACCTGGGTCACCTCAGGGTCACCTGTGTCACCCCTGGGGTCATTGGTGTCACCTCAGGGTCACTTGGGTCACCCCCAGGGTCACCTGTTCTCCCGCACCGCCAGCATCCCGCCCTGGGGGGGACACCTGGGTCACCTGGGTCACCTGGGTCACCCTCAGGGTCACCTGAGTCACCCCTGGGGTCATTGGTGTCACCTGTGTCACCCCCAGGGTCACCTGGGTCACCTCAGGGTCACCTGTGTCACCTGTGTGACCTCAGGGTCACCTATGTCACCTCCAGGGTCACCTGTGTCACCCCCAGGGTCACCTGGGTCACCTCAGGGTCACCTGGGTCACCCCTGTGTCACTTCAGGGTCACCTGTGTCACCCCCAGGGTCACCTGTGTCACCTCCAGGGTCACCTGAGTCACCTCAGGGTCACCTGGGTCACCTGAGTCACCCCTGGGGTCATTGGTGTCACCCCCAGGGTCACCTGGGTCACCTGTGTCACCCCCAGGGTCACCTGTGTCACCTGTGTCACCTGTGTGACCTCAGAGTCACCAGAGTCACCTCAGGGTCACCTGTGACCTCAGGGTCACCAGGGTCACCCCCAGGGTCACCTGTGTGACCTCAGGGTCACCTGGGACACTCCCAGGGTCACCTGTGTCACCTGTGTCACCCCCAGGGTCACCTGTTCTCCCTCACCGCCAGCATCCCGCCCTGGGGGACAGGAGGGTCACCTGGGTCACCTGTGTCACCCCCAGGGTCACCTGTGTCACCTCAGGGTCACCTGTGCCACCCCCAGGGTCACCTGAGTGCCACCTGTGTCACCTCAGGGTCACCTGTGTCATCTCCAGGGTAACCTGTGCCCCCCCCGGGGTCACCTGGCTACCACCTGTGCCACCCCCAAGGTCACCTGTGCCCCCCCAGGGTCACCTGTGCCACCCCCAAGGTCACCTGTGCCCCCCCAGGGTCACCTGTGCCACCCCCAAGGTCACCTGAGTGCCACCTGTGTCACCCCCAGGGTCACCTGTGCCCCCCCAGGGTCACCTGTGCCCCCCCCAGGGTCACCTGGGTGCCACCTGTGCCCCCCCCAGGGTCACCTGTGTGACCTCAGGGTCACCAGGGTCACCTGTGCCACTCTCAGGGTCACCTGTGTGACCTCAGGGTCATCTGGCTCACCCCTGGGGTCATTGGTGTCACCTCAGGGTCACCTGTGTCACCTCGGGGTCACCTGTGCCCCCCCAGGGTCACCTGAGTGTCACCTGTGCCCCCCCCAGGGTCACCTGTGCCCCCCCCGGGGTCACCTGGGTGCCACCTGTCCGCGCTCACCTCCTGGCAGATGGAGTTGATGTCGGCCCCCGAGATCTTGTCCGGCCGCGCCACGTCTGGGGGGGGGGGGGGTCAAGGAAACGTCCCCAGGTGTGCCCAGGTGTGG